AATATTCTTCCGAAAGGTGATTGGATGGAACATCTTCGGCTCCTTTTGAGCCTTTCTCGAGTTCACCCGTGGGCCGTCGTCACAAGTTTGAATATATTTTACCAAATAGAATTATTTCTTTTTCGATTGTAATTTGACACAAAATAATAAAAAAATTATTTTTTAGGATTAATGTCAAACGTTAATTTGAAAAGCGGGGGTTCAGATTTTCATAGTTATTTATTAAAAAGGCAGATTATAATGAATTTTAAATCCTATTTTATTCATATATGATTCGTCTTACTAATAATATTTAAACTTTGTATGTGATCTTGTTACCATGTGAACCCTTTTAATGTTTCGGTGAATTACATTTGAAGATCTGTAATCAATAACAAGATATTGATCAACATGTGATAAGTGTACACTGATTACAATTAAACTGAATTCGAACTTACCATAGTTTATTATTATGTCTCATCTATGGTATTAACAAACTACAGTCTAACTAAGGAGTTTAAATATGCTATATATTTATATTATTCTGTCTATCGGTGAAATATTTTAGAAGGTATGTAACTGAATCGCGTGTTATTTGTGCACAAGGTTTCATTCAATTTTTTTATGACAATATCATGATAAAATAATTAACCGCCAAACGAAATGGATAACATTTCAACTACATAGGCTGTAGAAGACAATTAACTATACTGCACACCTTTTACAAATCAAATGTAAGTGAATGCATCAGCCAATAACTACGGGTTGCTGACAATTTTATTGTTGTTATTAACATAATCTCTTTGGGACTCAAAAATTCAGTAGCTTTACAGGAAACAGAAATTATTTTGTTATAATTTCTCTTAATACAACCTAGCCACTCCTAATGATTAGTATTCTTGGACGATAAGTCCTCAAATCAGAACACGGTTGAACAGGAAGGAAACTATACTCCTAATAACAAAGGTAGATAGAAGTAGGAGTTCCGATAAGATGAATTTTAGTATATTTATAGTTTTACATAAGATTCTAGATTCTTCCCCAAATATCCACTGGCGCCGATTGGCTAATTCTTATCCAACACAATCCTGCATGAACTTGCTTTAATCTAATCTATATTCCAATAACATATGCTTATCCACCGTAAATGTTTACATATCATTTAGACAAACGGTCATTCCAAATTTCAATTCTTACTCATAAAACTGCAATAAACATTGTATGCCTTATTCATATAATCACGGTGACGAAAATAGTACTTAGAAGTTACTATACAATTATATCAGACGGTTTGGAGAAAGTTTGATGCTGTATTGTATAAGTATATTATACTTATCAATGTAACTTAATCCTCTTCTTAGGTTAATATAATCTTTGATTCAAGGGCATTTTATGATATTTGTGTCATGGTAACTTACTCAACCTTTCTGGTTCCAGTCATTTGAAACTGTTGTTCTCGTGAAAGTGAAATTTAGTAGACATTTCACATCAGAGAACAACCTATACAGAGCATCTTTATTTAAATACGGACAATCCCTACTTAAACATAATTTTTCTCACAGAACGACATTGAATACCATAGTGTTTTATTTATCTTCTTGAGACATTGGATAATTGTTTCATTTTGCTTAAAATTGACTGAATTAGGAAGTGCTGAATAACCTAATGCTCTGTAAACTTGGAGTACTATTTCGTATATGAACAGCAAACGCGTGCCTATTGCTTTGGAGTTTCAAACTGAGACATGGTATTCAATGATTCCCCGGAAACTATCATTCCGAAACATAAATTGTTCGCTAAAATTATGTCGAGTAAGAATCTCAATTAAGTGGCTACTTCAAATTTACAGTAGTTTATTCATAGGTAAGGGATTAGTGGTTGTGATGGTATCACTTAATTTACTTCTATTTAATTTAAATTCATCATAAACAAAATGACTTTATTGCTTTACTTTTAATCGTCTGACATTGTTTTATCTTTTTATTCAGGTTTATTACACCACCGTCTACCCTCCTTGTACATCTATGAACAATCCATCTTGTTCACCTACTGTTTGCCAAACACGCAGTCAACATTCATGATGTATAAAACTATGTATTATGATATACAAACTTCATTATCTGTACTAAAGAAATACTCGAAATGTTAATCAGAACATAGGAGCAACTCTATTTTTAAAAAAAAATATCAATTCACAGCTTTTGACGTGAGTGATACCGTAATCCACACACTTCCACTATTCACACAACAGAGTTGAATTAAAACCAGAAAAAAATTCGTTTGTTTTGCTCAATATTATATTTATCCTTGAACAATGATGAAACTAAGTAAATATAATGACCGGAACCAAACGTGAAAAAACTCCAGACAAATAAGATGGACTATGTATATATATAAATATAGTTGAATTCTTCTTTCAAATTTATTTCGCTCTTTGATGAACGCGTTTTTTTTCCTTATTTTTTCATTCGAATTCTTATGTCATTTGGGATTTTTTTTTTAAATATGGAAAGACTATACCCATACACATGGGAGAAAGAAAAAACTTGTATGTCTTGGTGATTAGATAAATGTGTTTAGAATGGAATTAGGATAAAGAGAAGATTAGTAGAGAAAAAAAATACTTTGCTCATAGAAAGAATGAGAAGAAAGAGACTATCTATGTTTAATGCTTTAATATTGTGAATATATAACTTTCATGATAATATAGATCTCTTTCACTGGATTTTCCATATATCTATATAAATATCCCTTGTAAATGTTATTTAATATTGCTGTCGTGTAAAATTGAGAAAATCGATTGAAATTGTAATTTCCATTTTAAGAATGTTTCATTTTATTCGGTAAGTTGACTTAATGGTAAAACTAATTTTTAAAAGATAATGGAATGACATTTAAAATGTTTATTGCTTAGTAATTTTCTAATTGATATCTTATTCTTATCTTTGTTTTATACAATGTGATAATCATAATGATTAATTTCTGAATGGGTTTTTGTGGAAAGTTTAAGAAATTTCACAAGTTGAAATCATGAGTCAGTTGAAGCTAGACCATCATTGAAAACCTGGAAGCACTGGACGGCCGTTTCGTCCTGGTATGGGACTCCTCAGCAGTGCGCATCCACGATCCCGCACTGCTGAGGAGTCCCATACCAGGACGAAACGGCCGTCCAGTGCTTCCAGGTTTTCAATGGTGGTCTAGCTTCAACTGACACATGATTTCAACTTGTGATTAATTTCTGCTTTTTTTTCTTCTTCTTTCATTGAATCAATTTGCATTCCGTTCATGTAACATTGATTATATACTTTGTAAATATGAATACTTCTTAAACTTTGTTTCTACGTTGACTACAATTCAACAATAAAAACCAATGTAAATAATTTCTATTTTTTTCTCTTTTTTTTCTATGTTGTGAATAATGTGTGGTTTATTATTTTCCATAGAAATTATTAAATCAATACTAGTTATAAATGTAATCTTATGAATTTGAAAATCTATTCTATAAATGTTGTGTTTTACTTTTGTATCCTTGAATTGGGGGGTGAAGTGGGAGATAGGAGGTGATTTCGTGAGTTATAAACTTTCTAGTTTAGATTTATATAAGTAGATATATTTGAAAATATTCTTGTAATCAATTTATTAGTTTATTTTAGTAGTATGATCATATAAAATATGCATAAGGTTCAATTATGTCGGTTGTTAGGAAAGAATTTACTGAAGGCACTGGTCGCGCGATGTTATAGACTGATATAATTTAGATGATCACACCATTAGATCTCACATCAATGGTTTAGAGTTCAAGCGCTGGCATGCGAAACCGAAAGGCTTGGATTCTATTCTTGCTAACGAGATTGTGGACATTCAGTTCTGAGTAGTCCCATGCTAGGATGAAATGATTATTTACTGCTTATAGATTTTCAATAGTTGATTAAATTGAGTCGGTTTATAATCCCAATAAAGGTCGATATTTTCACAATCACCTACTGATACTCCAACAGAAACTAGGCGATAATCGAGCATTAAAAACAACTGTCGTCCGACTGTGCCTTGAGGAACATTGTGCAGCCACGTAGTGTAAGATTATATGCCATATCAGTGAGGTGAGTATCAGTAGGAGCTGTAGGTTACTTTCGTACCTCAATTTTAAAATATGGACCAATAGATTTCAATTAGGTTGTCTAGAAGCATCATATGAGTGGCAAGCCCTGAAAGTGTTATGTTTGGATTACATTTGTGGTCGTAGGTACTGAGTACTGAAGAGTCACAAACTAAAATAAAACTTTTCATCACTCCTTGATTCCAATTTTTATTCTACTGATGACCGCCCATGATGAAAAACGTTGACTTTAAGTTGAATAATCTCCAAGAATAATAAATGACTGCAATTATAATATTTTAGCATTAAAATCGGTCTATTGGTAACGCTATTCCATTAGATTCTAATGAGTCGTAGGTTCTCAATTAAGCAATGTTTGATTTGAGTAAATATGAAATTCATTCTTACTAATAAATTATTATACGAAAACTGATTTCAGAATTTACATTAAGATTGTACGAAGTATGATGATATCATGTTGAAACATTTCAGCACTTCTTAACAGTTAAGATACAAATTGAATAAACATATCCAGTTTATAAATAACAAGATAATGAACATTCAAAGTGTTTTAAGTAATCATTGTAATTGATTATAGTTTCTACTTCAAACTTCTTCATACATCTCACTTAGATTAAAATGCTGAAACTGAATATTGCTTGTTCAACTGTTAAGGTATTGAAATAATTCAAAAAATATAGCACTTAATTAACGGTGGACAGATCTCTCCAAAGGACTCTTCATTTAAAGTAGTCTACAGAGTCAAAGGAAGTGGATTAAAAGGGGTTCGAATCAATATTTTATGCACCGCAGAGGCATTAGCAATCCACAAACTTAAGCCTGAACTTTGCGTGCAGAAACGATTTGTCTAACCTCTCATCTTTCCTTCCCCATATCTCCTAATTATCAACTTTGTTAAAACGTTATGGTTTAAAACAAGTTTATTTATCCATAAAATAATCAATATGATTTAAAAACGATAAATCAATACAAACCATTACAAATGATAAAACAATGGGAATAGAGAAACACTTTCAAAATTACAAAATATTGATTGTTAAGATTTAATTGTTTTGGTTTTGAATAATAAAAAAGGGACGAATCATTTTGTCAAGTTCAGCTGTTAATCAGCCATATTAAATATCCATCCAAATGAATAGATTTTAAAAGCTAAAAATAAATTATTTATGCGTCACAAACACTTGAGGTTCGTCTATAAATCTTTGGTCGATTCTCAAAAATAGGTGAATGAATTGCTGAAACATTTGTTATATGGTCACGTTTCATAATAGATCGATATGTAGTTGAATCATTAAAATTATTTGTAAATGTACTTAAGTTTGATGGTGATTGTGGTCTTTTCTTATTCATTGATTGATTGAAGTCATAAACCATTTGAAATGATGGAGAACCATATGTTTCCGATCGATCAGGTAAAGGAGGAGCATTTTCATCAAAAGGATCGGATATTCTTCCTGTTGTTGTTAATGAATTATTTTTATTATCAATACCTTCTGTATTCTCATCTGGTGGAAATCCAGTTTCATATATTCCTGTACCAGAATATATGCCTAATGGATCACATTCATCATATTCGTCAGGTATTGTACTTGGTTCTAATTGTTTACTGTAAGCAGCATTTGATGATTTTTTAATTAATGGAGGAATATTTGATGTATCTTCGTATGCAATATTCATGAAATGTGGGTTGAGTGGACATGAACTACCATAATTGGACTGTGCTGAACTTCGAGGATTGTGATATAATACAATAGGTCCATGTTTATTTAAATATTGTACCTTACGTCTATAGTATAATAATCGTTACAAAAAAATGATAGTTTGAAGCATAGGTAAAAGTAAAAGAAAATAAATATTTCAGTGAATTATGGCATCTCTATATTCAGACAACAATCGAAATTGATAGAAAGCAAGAAACATACTAGTTCATACGATCGTAGTGTCTTGCAAATGTTATTTCATAATCAAAAATAAATTTATAATAAAAAAGACTGATGTAAATTTAATAAACAACTAATCTTCTTTAATTCAATATTTATATCAATTACTTTTGACAGCAGAACAATTCAGATAGTTGAAACGCAAACAAAATAGTTAATGTACTAGTGATCAATTCAAGTAATTCGATATTATGCCTCTTAGTGAGAAGTTTTCAGTGGCTTATTATATTTTAAAAAAAGACACATAAACCAAAATGTTGTCATATGAAACAGTTTATCCATGTAAATGTAAGTAATTTCTACTGTTTACTCTTACTTACTAAGTTACACCCGTTACTCTTAGTAGAGCATAGGCGGCTGACCAGCATTCTCCAACCCACTCTGTGTTAAGCCTTCTCTTCTAGATCCATACAATTCTTGTTCATTTTTGTCATGTCTGTTTCCACTTCCCGGCGTAATGTGTTCTTTGGTCTTCCTTTTTTCTTTTGGCCTTGAGGATTCCATGTGAGGGCTTGTCTTGTGACGCAGTTGGGTGCTTTCCTCAATGTGTCCTATCCACTTCCAGCGCTTCTTCCTGATTTCTTCCTCCGCTGAGATCTGGTTAGTTCTCTTCCACACTAGGTTGTTGCTAATAGTGTCTGACCAACGGATCCGAAGTATTTTGCGTAGACAACTGTTAATAAACATATGTATCTTCTGGATGATAACTTTCGTAGTTCTCCAATTTTCCGCTCCAGACAGTAGAACTGTCTTGACATTTGTGTTGAAAATCCTGACCTTGGTGTTGATCGACAATTGCTTTGAGTTCCAGATGTCCTTCAGTTGTAAATATGCTGCTCTTGCCTTAACGACCCGCGCTTTCACATCTGCATCAGATACACCATGTTCATCAGTGATGCTGCCCAAATATGTAAAGGTTTTTACATCTTCCAAATCTTCTCCGTCAATTGTGATTGGATTGGTGCATTCTGTGTTGTATCGGAGAATCTTGCTTTTCCCTTTGTCTATATTGAGACCTATTGCTGCTGAGGCTGCTGCTACACTGGTCGACTTCTCCTACAGTTGTTGCTGCGTTTGCGATCGGGGGGCCAGATCATCTGCAAAGTCTAGATCTTCCAATTGCATCCTAGATGTCCATTGTGTCCCATGGTTCCCTTCAGATGTTGACGTCTTCATGATCCAGTCGATCACCAGGAGAAAGAGAAAGAGTGAGAGTAAGCAGCCTCGCCTGACACCGGTCTTTACCTTGGAAGTGTCTGTGACCTGTCTTCCACGAACAATTTCGCAGTTTAATCCATCGTAGGAATTCCGTACGATATTGACTATCTTCTGAGGCACGCCGTAGTATCGAAGAAGCTTCCATAGTGTTGTTTTGTTCACGCTATCAAATGCTTTTTTCGTAGTTCTACTGTTCAGTTTTAGACATTCCGGCTACTTTAATTTGATTAAAAATGTACTTTAAGTTGTGTACCAATATCAGTCTGTTAAGCATCTATTTGCTTTGTTCGACAATATATATTCTATGAATCTACTGACTACCAATTTATAGAACAACTTCACAGCTTACTAAATTTTGTTTTTTTCAGCCAAAATGAGTTTCATAGAGACGATGCTTTAGAAAAAATTATAGTTTGTAACTAAATTATTGAATTATAAGGAATTATAATCACAAAATTGGAAATAAACTAATTCATTTAATGATAAAATTTCATCATGTTTATGTCTCATATTGAAATTTAATTACTATCACGCAATCAAATGGATTGCTATCACAGAAGTTGATATTTATGTTATGAATGTACTAAAAAGCAATCGTTATTCAATCATTATAGATCAAGCAGTTTATCCGATCTAGTTATATATATATATATATATATATATATATATATATATATATATATATATATATATATATATATATATATATATATATATATATATATATATATATATATATGCATTTCGATAAATTTGTGTATGTCGTTGCTTGTTTAATTTATAAGTAGAGTAAAACACAGAAGACTTTAATAGATTTATTAAATGTGTTAAACCTGCTTACATTTTGTAATATTATTGTTTTCTTTTTTACAGACAATCTATTTTCTGACCAACTAAGAACTGGTTAAAAGTCTTAGCGTTTACTTAAATTCACTTTTCATATTATATATTCTTACTGTGCAAATTAGTTGCATATATGAGCATTGAATTCTCACGATTAAACATTAGACCATCTTTATTCATTTCTCCTTCCAAACGTCTATTTTAATGTTTTCAATATAAAGGTTTGTATTATTTAAGTTGATTCATAGTTATATTGATGTTAAACAAATAAATCAATATCATCTACCTGTAACCATTATGACAGTAATCGAGTCTAATATTATCGATCAAATTTATGAACACTTTACATAGAGCTCATATAAAAATATACAAAACATGATACTTTTAGTAAAGATTCGAATTTACATAGACATTTGATGTGATAAAAAAAGTATTCAGACTATAATCAGTTTATTTATTTGATAATAAATAACTGAATGAAGAGTGTTGGTGGGCAGCCTATGCTCCTCCACGAAGAGTAACAGGCGTTAATAAGTAAGTAAGTAAGTAACTCAATGGAGTAGTCACAATATGTAGTTCTAGTATATAAATACACGACAATGAAGTATTCTTTCAACTTACGTTTTAAAAACTATAAGATGTTTTGAAGATTAGATAAAACGTAAGTAAATTCAAGAATGAAATGTCTTTTTATATCTTGAATGTTTAACTATTTCATAGACATAATGTTAATATCAGAAATGTAAATTATGCGCATTTTTTAAAAATTCATCAGTGAAGTAGAGATTTATTCAAACATTGATTTTTCAGAATAAACAAATTTGTTCTAGCATCACTTTAATATGACTACTTATATAAGGACTAAATTATTATTATTATTAGTGGCTTTATCAATATTATCTTTTTGGTACAATATAGGATTCTCAGCACAAAGTATTTCAACAAGTTTCCTTTTCTTATTTCTTGGTCAATCCCTGCGATAAATATTGGGCAGTCGCCAGTTAGTTGTTAGCAGTTCAGGAATTTACATCTGATAAATGTGTATTTATTTCGATGCGTATTGACACTAACCACGATATCTCTGTTTAGTCTCTTTTGTGACTTGTACAGCGAAATGTAGTAAACATTTCAGAAACGCACCTGAATAGGTTAGGTGACTAATAGACATAATGATGTGTTAAAAGAAAAAAAGAAAACAGATAACTTGTTGATGGCAGGAATATCCAGATGACAAGAATAGGTAGTCCAGATATTCAAATAGGCGGCCTGTTCTCTTCATATATTTCTTTCATTACTGTATAATATAACAGAGGTTAATATTACTTTTCCGAATGATAAAACATTTCTAATTTCTAACAGTCTATTTCTAACCTAGTCCAATCATTTATAGTAATTGTCTGTTATAGATAAATAACAAAAATCTATGATAGGAAATATTTGACAGTTTGATTATACAAGATCAATATCACCTTCCCAGCTTATTAATTTACAGTTTGGCAATATATGTGATAAATTTATGGCTAAAATAAGAGAAATATTTAAACTGTCCATATATGCATAAAAATGTTTAAAGTATCGTTGAATGATAATAGAGTTTACATGTCATAATGTTATCCACTCTCATATTTTTCACTATTAACAATCGACATCGATCTTCTCTGAATATTATCTTGTTATAGCAATATCCGGTTAAAGTTCTGTTTCTTGAGTATCATTATGAAATTAAATAGTTGATTGTGATGAACATTATCTAATTGCTCTTATAGTTAATTAGCTATGCATTTCATAAATCTCATAACAATCCTAGGGTTACTAACTTACTTACGCCTGTGACACCCAGTTGAACATGGGCCGACGAACAGCACTCTTCAACCCAGTCTGTCCTAGTTGTTTCTTTCTAGTTCTATGTAATTGTTGTTTATTCTACTCATATCTGTCTTTATTCCTCCGCATAAGGTGTTCTTTGGTCTTCCTCTTCTCCTTTGGCTTTAACGATTCCATGTGAAGGCTTGTCTTGTGAAGCAGTGGGTGCTTTCCACAATGCGTGACTTATCAGTTTCCAGAGCTTTTTCATGATTTCTTCGTCCGCTGGAAATTTTTTTCTCTCCCACAGTAGATTGTTGCTGCTAGTGTCCGGCCAACGGATCTGAAGTAATTTGCGTAGACAACTGTTATTAAATACTTGTGTCTGCTAGATGATGTCTTTCGTAATTATCCGAGTTCCCACCCCATACGATAGAACTGTCTTGACATTTGTATTGAAAATTCTGACTTAGATGTCAGTTGACAGTTATTTTTACTTCAAAGTGTTCTTCAATCGTAGATATGCTGCTTTTGCTTTCCAGATCCACGCCTTCCTATCTGCGTCAGATCCACCGTATTCCTCAATGATGCTGTCCAGATATGTAAAGGTTTTTACATCCTACAAAGCTTCTACGTCAAGTGTGATTTGATTGGTGCATGTTGTGTTGTATCAGAAATCTTGCTTTTCCCTTTGAGTGTGTTGAGAACTACTTCTACTGAGGCTGCTGCTATCCTGGTCGACTTCTCCTACAGTTGTTGCTGCGTGTGCGATAAAAGAGACAGATCATGTATAAAGTTTACATCGTTCAGCTTCATCCTAGCTGCCTACTGTATCCTGTGGTTCCTTCAAGATTTTGACGTCTTCATGATCCAGTCGATCACCAGGAGAAAGGGTGAGAGTAGGCAATCTTTCCGATACCGGTTTATACGTCGAAGGAGTCTGTTAGCTGTCATCTATGCGCAATTTCGTGTTTAATCCATCATAAGAATTCCGTATTGTGCTAACTATCTTCTCAGATATGCCGTAGAGTCGAAGAAGCCTTCAAAGTGCTGTCCAGCCCACACTATCAAATGCTTTCTCTTATTAAATGAAGTTGATGTAGAGTGGTGAATTCCATTCAAATGATTGTTCCACAATGATCCGTAATGTTGGGATTTGGTCGTTACGCGATCGATCCTTACGGAATAATTCTAGGGTTATATATATCATCAGTATAACATTCATTTTAAATAAGTCAAACACTTTAATTACAACCTACTTACTTCCTGATGAAACATTTCCAGACAACTCCTATTGTAAGAAGAACAACCGTGATAAATAAAACAACTCCGACACTGATGAGTGTTATTAATATCCAATTTGATTTCTGAAAAAAAGAAGGAAATGTATACAGATTTTCTACGCATAAAACTTAGAAAACTTAACCTCAACCACTGGGTAACATAGATTGACGATGAATTTCTCAGTTATCATAATAAGTAAAGCTTTGAACAACGTATTAATTATTTCGCCTTTTACATCTAGACACTGATACTGAATTTAGACTTCTGTTAATAGCTGTGTGAACAAAACGTCATTATGTGAATGAAACCATCAAAGTAGGTATTTTTGTCCAAATATACTAAGGATAAATTAGTTCAGTGGACAAAATGAAATTCCACTTTACCCTGAAAGTTATGAACTAATATCCATTGTCTTATATTTCCAAAATCTTCCTGGAAATTGTGAATCATTTCTGTACATTTGTGTAACATTTTTTCAGTGTTATCCAATTTTGGCAAGTTGTCCCAATGTTCCATTATACCTGTAATTGGATATATGTTCTGCTTTAACATCATACCTGCTTGATAAACGGTCTATGTCATTAAAGCACAGTAAAATTCCCTCCACTTCTTGATGGTCAATGAGCAACTGCCTGAGTGGAATGATACATAATAGACTTATTAAGATAATAAATTTATCGATAATAAAAAAAAACTTCAAAACATTTCTTACTGCTGTTTCTATTTCAACAGGTATTTCACATCTAACTCCTATCCAACCAGGTAAACACACACAGCGAACTTCAAATCTGATTGGATGATCAAAACACGTACCGCCGTTTAAACAAACGGACGTTACTTCAGTTGAATTGTTGTAATGGTCAGTGGACAAATTATTATTACGCTGAACTTTTGCTGCCTCTTCTAAGCATGCCGAACGTCTTTCATTGCATTTATGACCTGTCCATTGTTCAGTACAATGACATATGTAACTCTCATTATAATGTCCGGCTAATTGACATTTACCACCATTTTGGCAAGGTTTTGAATCACATGGATTATAATTTGGGTAGCATTCCGGTTCTGGTAAATTAAAATAAAAACAAAGTAATGATCATTATCCCTATAGGTTTGTGGAGATAGTTAACTTTAATCGAAGTCATGTAAATCAGATAACCCTTATAAACCTGGAAGCACTGGATGGCTTTTTCGTCCTGGCATGAGATTACATCGAAGCATTTAAGTATATGTAAGCAGGAATCGACCGCAAGACCACTGAGGCCAAACCTAGTGGTATACACGTCTAACTTCAGTCAATCTATGATACTGCGCAACCATCCTTCACTTTCTTCGGAGAGTTTCTCTACGTCATACAGCATGGTTTATCCTCACTGGTCGTTTATGAAGCTGATCGTTCAATTTCCGCTCACGATGTGATATGTGCGCACTTCTGATGCGTTCGGTACTAAAACGAAATGGTTATCTAGTGTTTTCAGGTCTTAAATGATTGTCTAAATTTGATTAGTTTGTAAGTTAAATGGAAAACAAAGTACTGAGTTGAAACTATTCAGTACGACAACACTCAAAGATTGGTCACTTTAAAAGAAAAACATTCAAAACTTATGTAAGTGGAATGATTACTGAAAGAATGCACAAACGTTTATCAAATTCAAATGAAAAATATGTGATCTGTGTAGAGTAGATATATCGTTTAAATAAATTGGTGAAATTCAGAATGAATAGCTAAATTTAGAAACAGGTTAAAATAAATTAACTTAGTTGATAATTGACTATATGTTCACTACGAATACTGAACATCTTTCATGAAATTTTGAATAAAAGATTTCAAAATAAAAATAAACAACTGACTTTCTTGTCCATTGCATAAACAGATACGTCCACTTTCATCATCTTTATTTACACATGTTGCATGATCAGCACATGGTTCATAGAAACATGAATCCTCTTTGTCACACTTTGGTCCTCGAAGCCCTAAAATAGGAAAATATACTTGTTGTAAATTAACTGTAACAAACAAGGCAAATGGTAAATACATGAATAGTTTAATCAGTATTTCATAAATACATGATACACTACCGACCTACGACGAAAAGAATCCGATTAACAATAAATTAGTCAACATACATGGAGTGATTATTGCCACCATCTTAGTTCTGGAATAGCTTAGTCACTATCTGAGTAGTTTTACATTATGACACAGCTTTAACTCTTACTCCCCATACTTCAGTGAAATGTGAAGATAAAATTGTAAAATTTGAATTCAAAAACGTGTTAAAACAATTTAAGTTACGAAACATGGTTAAATATAGTTGTTAAAAATAAAATATCTCATTATAACAGAGTGGTCTTATAGTAATAACTGATGACACAACTAAAATCATACTTTATTTTTAATGGAAATAAGCCAAAATTAGAAATTTAATTTGAATTGTTGACAATCAATTCCATCTTCGGGTTAGTATTGGGTTCACTTAAAGTTTTATTATTATTATTATTATTGGTATTATTCAGTATTATATTTTCGGTACTATACAGAATTTTAACAAGTTTCCTTTTCTTATTTCTTCATCGATCCTTGCAATACATATCGGGCGGTCGCCAGTTAGATGTTAACAGTTCAGGAATCGACATCTGAATAATGTATATTTACTTCGTTGCATATTGACAGCAACCACTATGTCTCTGATTGGTCTCTTTTGTAACTTGTACAGCGAAATGTAGCAGACTTTGCACAAACGCACCTGAATAAGTTATGCGACTAATGGGCATAATTCGGGAAATAAAAGCACATGCGGAAAGGATGAATAACAACTGGAAGGAGCTGAAAGGGATTGCCTAGGACAGGGTTGGATGGCGAATGCTGGTGAGCGTCCGATGCTCCTTCACGAGGAGTAACAAACATAAGTAAGTAAGTAAGTAAGTAATGGGTATAATAGTGTGTAAAACAAACAAGAAAACAGATAACTTATTGAAATATGCAGAAGACAGGAACAAATAGCCCAGATATTCAAGTAGGCCGCTAGTCACTTATAATGTAATCGAAGTACACTCATTTTACGGTCAGTAGATTCAATTGTCATAAACTTCAAAGATCACTATTTCTAATAAACACTACATTAAATTATTCATTTAGAAAATTCACGAACCCTGTAGATTTATTCAGTACGTTTACACATCGAAAGATAAGTTACGTTATTCCTTTCACTAAGGCTCGAAACAATTAAAAAACCCGTACTCTCCACGATATAATTCTGATGTGACTATAATTGAACTTTGAAGCAACCATATTTAGTTGTAATTCGAAGCTCTTACTGAGATTTCTTCTTTGAGTTAATCTTATATCACACTAAATTATGTTGTCATTAAAGACAACTATTATCTATGAATCATAACTTTCTGACACGAAAATAAACATACCTGGGAGACAGATATAAGAACCATCTGAACTGCAAGTATATCGAGATGGTTCAGGTCTACAGAAAATGTGACAATGATTACCATAATAGTCTTTTACGCAACTAAGACGCATTCTTACATTAACGCTAAATTTTCAAAAAAGGAGTAAGAAAAAAATATAAATAAACGAAGGTATAAACAACAATCATTTATGTTAAAAAGCATTTAAATCATGATTAAATTATACTTTTTCATTCCTTTTAAATATTATTTCATTGTTTTTCTAATTCAAACAACGGCATTATTCGACAAACAAATAAACCACGACACTAAACACACCAAAAACATCTGAGAAACTGTCTATGAATTAATTAAATTAACAGTATACAATAATATTCTTATTGAGTCGAAATTGTTATGGTTTTATGTCCGGCTTTTATCACATGATTTATCCACCAATCAAAATACAAATTATACAATCTTCACACTATGACAAAACCAATGATGTTCAACCGGTATGAGCAGTCTAGCGTCCTTATTGGTCCTATGTTCGCCTAGCCCCTTGAGTCCAAAACACAGACACCAGCTTCTGCAATACGAATCATTTATTTCAAACATACTCGGTTTATATATCAACCAGACAGACCAAAACGTACCATGAAATAGAACACAACATGTGTACACAATAAAGCCAAAAAGTGGCTGTGAATGAGGGAGATAGTAATTGATAGACAGTCCATAACTCAAGAATGATAAATCGTATAGTATTAGTCTATGGGTCAAATTTAAGCTTATAATAATAAGAATATAAATATACGTAATCTATTTATTGAATAATTATACCATAAGAATATATATTAGTCAATTATAATGTCTCAGGAGTTACCCGTGATTTAATCTTCGCTCAGATATAACAGAAATGATGATACATTTCGCTTCAGGATCACTAAACACACTAATTCTCTAGATTTTCCGTGTTTCATTACTTCTGAATAAAATCTATGTCACATACATAGATTCCAGTCAATTAACTAGACAAAATAATGTGTGCGAAAAAAAATTCGATTATTTGTTGCATAAGCTTGATAATTATCCATATATAACAAATTGGATCATTCATGTACATTCTTGGAATGTAAACCAAAATCAGAATCTATTGTGTTAAGTATTACGAACTAAAGTTTTATTCATGTACAATGCAATTCATTATCATGGTTTCCAATCAGACTTATGAAACAAATAATCATAATTTTAAAGATCAAGAGTGAACATAACTAATCGTTTATTTATGTGTTAATGGAAAATAGATTTAACATATAGGTTCTAGTAGATGAGCTTGGATTGAATCTATTAATGAATTTTCATTAGTTTCAACAAAACTTCTTTTTGATTAATCATTTCATGAGTATAAATTCATATTTTCAGCCATCATCAATCTTATAATGTTTAGATCATCGAGAACAATCAATTCAATGAACAACACTAAAGAATAAATTTACATTGTATTGGTATGTCACATACCCAACTAAGTAGGTTACGGATGAAATAAAAACCAATAAGGTTTTGAAAGTTTTCAAAATTTAGTTCAGTCAATCGTTTGTATGATTTAATGCATACGTTGACCGAATGATCAACCAATTTTGTAGACATTATTTCATACAAAGTTGTAGAATTCGCCTTGCTGACAGGATCTCAAATTTTCATTCCTGTTTAGTTTAATTGAAGTATAGTTTTTTTTACTTGTATTAAGTAACATCTTCCTTTCAGTTTCATACTTTAAATCGTCAATTGTTCTCACTTAAAAAATGCTGAAAACCAGCAAATTATGGACAACCATTTCATCATACAATGAAAATCAGCGGTTAGTATTCACGAACCTACTGAAGAGCGTTGAATCCAAGATTTTTTATCTTGTGCCCGAATACCTGACCTCTAGACCAATTAGCAAGCATCCACGGGTGCACATACATAACTTTATTCTGTTCACAATTAAGAAATTCGATATTAATGTCAGAACTTTCAGAAAACCTTTCTGCGTATTAAAAATTCTTCCTGAAAAATGTCTTGGAATTTTATTTTTAGATTTTTAGCCAGAGTCTTGTAGGCCAGTATATGGATGGAACATTTTAAAACCTTTGTGCATATAAACCAAACTTCTATTTATATCCAGTACTTCAGAGGTAATGAAAACACTGACTGATTTTTTATATACCGGGTTATTGCAGGTGTCTGACAGGTTTTATCGTCATCTAACAAACTAAGTGGAAAGAAGTGTGACTACCGACAACATTCACCAATCAATTTGTAACTGCGTAAATTTAGAAGATGTGTGGTTGGTCGATAATTAGTTCATCCACAGAAGTTAGAGTCTACATCTTCATTAAATAAAGGATGGGTATTTATGAAAAACCGTAGACAATTTTGAAAGACGCTGATTTACAAACTATCTACATAACTGATAATGAAATACATTCACCGCGTCCCTTGACAACTATAAGCAATCATTATTTCCTTCATTATTGAAAAAAATAGATCAAAGTAACAAAAATATTCTATTAACCACAAATCACCTTCAGCCATGATTTGTTATAAGTTCAATATCTGCAGCCAATCTTGTTTTTGTTATATCCCGATGTAAACAATTAATGGTAACTGCCAGAATCTGTTTCTGGACTAATAATATACGTATATTTTTATCGTATAATTGTTAAATAACTAAACTATTCATATTCATGTCCCTCTTATTATATGCTTATTTTGACCCATGAACTATTATTATACAATTCACAATTCTTGAGTTATGCCCTGTCTATCAATTACTATCTTCCACATTCACAGCCAAATTTGGCTAAATCTTGTACAAATGTTATTTTTCATTTTATGGTATGGTGTGGTCTGTTTGGATATGCCTGAATATGAATATGCCTGAAATAAATTATTCATATCGCAGAAGCTGAGATTTGTGTTCTGGATTTAACAGGCGGAGTTAGGTAAGAAGCAGGACCGATAAGAACTCCAGATTGCTCGTATATGTTTTATGCATCATTGGTACAGTCTATAATTCACTGTTCTCTAATTGGCGGTATCATTAATAGGAGCACAAACTCATAAGTTATAACAGTTTTGTTCATGAATGTCTTTCTACTAGTTTGTGAATAGATGTACGTTGTTAAAGTGTTGGATTAGTCATGGTTATAAAATTCATTTATCATGTGTTTTCGCTTAATTAACGCCAATTTATTTCAATTATTATTCACCCTTTTACAATGACTAAGATCGACAAAAATATTATTGGCTTAGATATTTTGCATTATTCCAGAAGGTATCTGAAAAATCCAATAAAAAATATCTAGTTTTTCAAATGTCTTATGCTTTCAGACTAAACAGTGACATATTATTTATGGCTTCACTTTGATAAATTACAGAATGATTCATTACTCAAACCCAATTCCATCATAGAAACAAACTAATCCGTAATTTTTACTGACCAATTGTGGTTAATTTAAATTTAATTGAATCATTTGATATCATTTGAATCTTATTGTTGCTTAGCTACATGCGTTAATCAATACAGACGTACTTGGAAACATCATAATGTATTCAACATAAAAATTCAATATCAATAATCACTTTTGCAACATTTCCCTCATTTGGAGTTGAATAAGTGAAATAAAAACTGAGTATTATGTTTTAAAATGTTAAAAAGTATATTCCATTTATTCTTGTCCATCTAAGATGACTTACTAAATAGTATTTCTATATAGATCATTTTCTCTGGACATTCTTATGTTTGTCCAATTGTTTGTTGGTAATAATGAAAAATGATTAGCAACTAATGTACCAATCACTTCAACGGATCCAAAAATATCTTGCTCGAATATACCTAACGTAAATGTATATTCGTTCTGCATAAATAAAGAGAAAGAAATATGAAATCTAAATTAATCGTTTTGAGTTACTGAAATATAACCGAATGTTCAGATGTTATATCAGTGAAAATAAACCGAACATTTCTCACTAAGCAAAAACAAATGCATTATGACCATACTTGAAAGTGGCATTCTAGACTCGTTAGTATTCAGTTACTTTTTTATTTAAAATGTATTTATTCCACTTATGAGAACTGATTCGATTACTTACTACCTAAACAATTTTTTTTTATTTAAAATGTATTTCTACTGATTAGTAATAAGTAGTTCTATTCATTTAAAATGCGTGATATCAAAATTTCAATAAATGGCAATATTAAACTGATGGTTTATCACGAATAATGTGTATATAAGCTACATTTTTAACATATATCCGAGATTATTATCTGAGTTTCTTGATCATACCCTACAGTTGTCATGATGGCTACGATGAAGAAGCTTGTAAATTCTTTAAATAGTTCAGCCTAATAGTTAATGTTTTCATGGATAGATCTATACTGTTAGACACATATGAACGCCTATTTGATATTTCATACTACACAAATGTGGGTAATATCTGAGTTGTTCCACCATGCCCAAGAAATCCTTCAGAGACATTTGTTATCTTCAACTTTCAAAGGCCATAATATTATTGCGTAGAAGTAACCGTGATCAAACCAAATATAAGTTCAATCCTAAAGAATTTTTTCACATTTTAAACTTTCGAAATTCATTTTAAGCGTTCACACCTTCTACTTTAAATTGTGATGAGTTACTCTTGGCAGTCAAGGAAAACTTTTAGCTGAAATTTTTACGAACGTATATCGTGTTAGTAAAATGTATCGCGTGGAATTAAAGGTTTTCCGACAAGGTGATTTTACTAAGTGATGAACAATCCCAAAACATGGAATGTACTAGGTTAAGATGCAACAAATATTGAATAGTTCTTCGTCTCTTATAGTTTTTAATTAATTATTTTTGGCGGTTCTTAAGACCTACGTGTTATTTTTACTTTGAGAAAAATTCAACTACTGCTTACCTTCTTTGGAAACAGTGTAGTATTTGATTACAATAATTTCAATTTCAACTGTTAAGATCAATATAAAAATACTATTTAGTATCATTGATTTTAAACATTAGAAGTTTCTAAACTTTAAACTTGTCTTGTCGATGTCTGTTTTATCTATCATTGATTTGCATTATTAATACAAAAGAACAGTTTATACCACTATAACGTTTTAACTTGATATACTAAATCTGAAATGATCGTTGGTAAATGTCAAAAGGGTAAATGCATTACATCTTATTTGTATTTTGAAGGTGTTTTTATCTAATTTTAACTCTAAAGTTCAAAAATCACCTTGTTCGACCATGTTTACTAAGTCTACATAACTTGTACACTCATCTAAGCATGAAGCGAATAGTTGCATATTTTCATAATCAGGTTTCAATCTAGATAAACAGCATTTTTACAGAATGATAATAAATAGACATTTTATAAGACATTAAGATAAAATCTAGAAAAAAATTACTTGACATTCAATAATCAAATAAATCATAAGTAACTTACAGGAACAGGTTGTGGTACAAATATTTCAATACCATCACTTTCACGAAACTCTAAGTAACCAGCATTATCAAATATAGGTGTGGTATGCTGTAATAGATGACATTTATCTATGCTGTAATTGATAATCAAAGAATAAAACAAACAAATGGGAAAAAATGAAAAGGATCTGGTTAAATTATTTAAGTACATGAGTAGTAATAAAAAACAGACTAATTAATCGCAATCTAACAAAAAACTCAATGCGAAGGTACAAGCCAAACAATACCAAGTGAATTTAAATTCACCCCATTGCACAAGCAAGTGGCTATCAGGACGCGATGGCGTTTGAAGTGAATGGTATTGGGTTCGAATCCAAGAATGAACATCAACACTGAGATGCAGGTACATCCAACTGACGAGCCCTAAATAGGCCGAAACGTGCGTCTTAACTAAATTCCACTGCTAGCCACTATCTATCATTGTTTACAATGAAAATTTATGTTTATACTAGTGAAATCTAACAATAATTAATAATGCTTTGAGATATCAATTAAAAATTTATTTAATTATTTACATCTATTGGATTTAAACAAAAGTTTTTTTTAGATTTTTTTTAAAAAGTATACAGTACGTGTTAGGAGATATATGATGGATATGAGTAAATTTTCCATCCAAATGAACTTATGTATCATAAGTAGATCAAATACTATTTCACATTTCGAAAAGTATTCTATATATAATTTGTAATTTAGCTGGAAAGATCCTGAATTCCACTGCTACCGATTATCCATCTTTGCTTAGAATGCTTGTGAATTAAGGCAATGTCAAGGTAATGCGCACAGTATACACATATGTCAATAAGGTATTGATCAATCGCAGTCCTAAAAATCAATGGGAAAATTCAAGTAAACAATATCAAGTGAATTTAAACTTCATTGAATAGTCCAAGCAAATGTTTATCAGAATTCAGTAGTTAAATGGATAACGCTATGAAGTTTGATGCGAACGGTAGTGGGTTCGAATCCCGGAGTGAACATCAATTCTGAGATGAAAGCACACCCAACTGACAAGTTCCATATAGGCCGAAACTGCTGGCCACTATCTATCATTGTTTATAACGTTTCAATTCATCAGTTTATCGGTTGAATAATAATGTAAACAATGAAAACGGGAAGTCATAGTTATTATTCCTAGATAATTATTTATTTCATGATTTGATCATCTGTTCATCTAACATTTAAGGATTGTTTACAGATCATTTTCGATGTTTTCTTTCTATGCAATATAAATAATCTGCTCTAATATTACATTCAGTTTAAAACTAAATATTAACAGATATTTTTAATTGAGATCATGAAACGATTGATGTTAGACCACTTTTGAAAACCTGGAAGCATTGGACGGCCATTTCTTCTTATGGTGGGACTCCCCAGTAGTGCGCACCTACGATTTCACTCGCGGAATTCGAACCCAGGATCTTCAGTCTCGCGTGCGAACCCCTAAACTACTGGACCACTGAATCTTCCAGGTTTTCAATGGTGGTCCAACATCAATCGGTTTATGATCTCAATTAAAAACTTAGCAATCTCCACAACCTCTATACTGATAAACATATATTTTGTATAGGTAGTAAAATCTGTCAAAAAATACATTATAATTTAAATCTATGATCACACGAAAATGACCAGATTTTAGGTGATAACATTTATAAAGTTTACGCAATTAGTATATGCTATTGTATTTCAATTGCACATAATCATTAAATCAGATTATCAACTACATATAAACATTAAACATGAAATATTTCAGAGGTGAACCTTACTAATAGACAAATAAACAATATGTTTTTAATTATTATAAATATATCTCTTAATGTTTTATCTAAACATACATATAATAAGTAAACATTAACTTGTTATAGTTATAATAATAAACATTACTTTTATATATAGTACTAACATATTATAAAATCAATCAATTAAATGTTACCAAGGGTTAGTATTAGCACAGAAATATAATTGACATTGTATAGACTGCTATCGATCGCTTAAATCGATGTGATTGGTATATTTAAGCAAAACCTTTTTATGAACATAAAGCCCTTAATATGTAAATATAAAAATCCAGAATAAATAGTCAGTATAAATAGAATGTTTTATACGGTGAAATTGTTTTAGCAATACACGTAATATCTACAATGTTTAAAGTATTTTACTGTTATTGTAGTATTTCTATCATTCTTAACGTTCGAATGGGAATGTTTCAGTTACAAAATATTTTTTTAAATGGACACTATTAAATCTGATTCGAATGTAAATAATAGCTCAATGTAGATTGCCTTAGTCATTTACTATCATACGTAGCTGACCTACTTATTATTAGGATCATTTATTGGTCACTTTATCAGCGATGGGGTTTCAAATTATAGTGGAATTTATATGTTCATCATTATGAGATATTTTATTGTGATATACTAAAATTGCCGTTATTCACTACGACATGCGAATTTTTTTCACGCTGAACGGCGTAAATAAATTGTTTTGTCGTAAACCGAAAGGTGAGACTATAATTTATGGACGAACTAATCAGGTATAAGATAACAGGTCTCAGATTTTGGCGTAAAATTCACTCATTCATTTAGCCAAATAGCCTCCTGGTATTTTAGCTGATTCCAGTTCGTGATGAAAAATCATAAATCTGATTCCCAACCCTAATCATTAACTGCGAATCATAATTCTTATTCTTCAAACTGCTTCATAACTCACATTTAGCCTTAGTAAGTAGGTAGACACTCACAAGGTCGCTTTAGCGTCGTTCAAATGTTGTTAATAAATTATAGTCTCACCAACCTAACTCCATAGCTTTTATTCTCTTCTAATTGATGAGTATCTTTCTTGAGTTATAATTATAGCATATCCAATGAACCAGTTAACCATTTTGACAATATATTGAATTTATTGTTGAAAACATAGAAAATTTTGTAAAATACTGTAGGATGGATTCATTGATAGCTAGTAATTAATCCAGATAACATGTCTAAATAAAACAAAATGCGAGTTCTGGATTCTGATGTTAGACACCAGCTATCTCTGTTTATAATCCTTGTGACTTGATGATAGTATCGAGACCATCCACAAAGGATGCACATCTGAAAAAAATTTTGATCAGTTGCAGTCCTAAATGTCAGTGAAAAGATTTAGATAACCGATACAAATGAAGGTTACATAAAATATTAGTGGGATTGTTCGACAAGTTTCAACTGATTTACAAAATGATTGACTGATTTAAATGACGTAGTAAATAATAATAATAATAATAACAACAACAATAGTAATAATAATAATGTGAATCGTTTGATTATTAATCGAAGCAAGAAAAGTATTTTCCATAATTATCGACAGTTCATTATATTTGTGTGAGGGCTGTGATACTGACCGGGTGCTTAGACCGAAGGAGGTTGTTTTCTTAGGGGGTCACACCCCGAGCCTTTAACCTAAAGGTCTAACCCACAAGGCAGTAGAGCATCGTGAGGAGATGCAATATTTTTCACAACAGTCTTGAATATGTGGATCCTTTGCATTTACTATCTAAAATTCACAAAATTTAGTATAAAAATCCTAAATTTATTGATAAAATAAGACCACTGTTGAACAATCTATAATTTTGGAAGATCGTTGAAGTGTTACTATGGTGAAATACCCCATAATAATTTATACATATTATATGTAATAAATACAACTGTAAGAAGAATATATCATGTATACCATATAAATCACCATTAAAAGATGGTTTTCTTAATATGACATAATAATGACATATTTCTCCACACATTAGAAATATTAACAGTAAGAGTTTTATACTATTCTAATCTTATCTGTCATGTGTTATACTAATTTTAAGATCGGTAACCAATACACTGACAACAAATATGATATAATTTTCATTAATAGTTGTATTATTTAATAGTAGTTCATGCTTATATTCTTTGTTGTTGATCATCATATGATATGATGTATTATATATGTCGATATGTTTTATGGTCAAAATATATTAATGACCGATTATTAAGACATTGAATCTTATTTTCTGATCTTTATATACAAAACAAAATTACTATTGTATTAGTATTTAAAATTACCAACTTTCAATTGAAGAAATAATAAATGATTAATATGTGAGTACTTTGTATTCAACAAAACATGACGTCTCTGACTACAACTAGTCGATGTATAAAATGAGAAACTAAACATTTAATTGTTAAGTATTTTATGTAAATTGAACAGAAAGTCTTTATAATAAGTACTAAGTAATAATGAATTATCGATAGTTGAAATCATGAGTCATTTGAAGCTAGATCACCATGGAAAATATGGAAGCACTGAATGGCCGTTTCGTCCTAGTATGGGACTCCTCAGTAGTGCGCATCCACGACTCCGCCTCGCGTGATTCGAACCCAAGGGCTTCAGTATTGCGCGCGAGCGCTTAACCACCAGGCTACTGAGGTGGCATCCAAGGTCCAGTGATTCCAGGTTTTCCATGGTCTAACTTCAAATGACTGATGATTTCAATTACTGAAATTACTCAAATCGCCACAAAACCCCTTCTGATAATTATCGATGAGTTTACAATTTAGTTACATTATATCATAATTCTAATGATCATAACAAAATCAATTACCCAGTTCAACATTAAGAAAATGTTCATAAACACATACTATTCAAACATCTTAAAGATACAAAAGAATATTTATGGTTTTAATGAAATAAATGTCTGAAATTTTTCAAATAACCACACACTGTGAACCAATATATACAATCACTTACTGTGTGATAATAATTCTGCAATTAAAAGTGGTCGCCTTCTTAAAATTCTGAGCTACTTGTTCCTATCATCCGGATATTTCAATAAGTTATCTGTTTTCTTGTTTTTTTTAACACATCATTATGCCTATTAGTCTCAAAACCTACTCAGGTGCACTTGTGAAACCTTTACAACCTTTTGCTGTACAAATTACAAAAGAGACCAATCAAAGACATCATAGTTGCTGGTAATGTACATTGAAAAGAATATACATTAATCAGATGTTGATTCCTAAACTGCTAACATCTAACTGGCGACTGCCCAATATTTATC